TACATTTATTTCGTTAACAATTAAGTGGACCCTCTCGGCTGGGTTTTGCCGCCGGCGTCGCTCACCGTATTCACCTAAACTCTTTTTGGCATTATTGTCTGTTAGATATCATTAATAATGTGTCAAATAATGGAAAACCGAGCCCTTAAGTACACACTTATTTCCCGTATTCATCAACGAGGGTCTCGTACTGGCAGACTTGGTGCCTTTGGTTGCATACGAGAGACTATTGGTCAGCTGCCAGCTCGTAATAAGTTCACGTGCTATATGACGCCATACAGGCTCATAAAGAGTGTGCCACACTCGCCGCCATGGCTACAGATGGCGCTGACTGACACTCCCGCGCTTAAGTTCACGTAAACCCAATAAAGTGGCTTGGAGGATAGCCGCCGTGGTAGCTCAGTGGTAGAGCATCGAACGCGTTATTCGAAGTTCGCAGGTTCAGTTCCTGCTCACGGCAAGTTATCTTCTCACCCACTTTTTTTCTTCATATTTACACTACAATTCGGTCTAATAACTTCCCCTACACTTCTGTTAGATCGCAATAATATTCTGTCAAACCACGGAAAAATGAGCCCTGAAGCATGCACTTATTTTCCGCACACACACACACACACACACACACACACACACACACATATATATATATATATATATATATATATATATATATATATATATATGTGTGTGTGTGTGTGTGTGTATATATATATATATATATATATATATGTGTGTGTGTGTGTGTGTGTGTGTGTGTGTGTGTGTGTGTGTGAGTGTGTGAAAACGAAAGAAAGAAAAATAATTCAGAAAAAGACTCCGGCGCGCAGAATCGACCTTGGAATCTCTCCATTGTGAGTGCGAGGCGTTAACCTGTGAGCCACAGCGGAGCACGTTCTTCAACGCTCTTACGGCAAGCTATTTATATCTACCACTAACCGCTGGTGACAGACATTTCGGGGGGGGGGGGGGCTATCGTGTTTTCATCATTACCAGCAAAATGGCTCAATCAGCAGCCACATCGTCACGACGCGGTGGAGCGCGCTTTCATCTTCCATGCGCACTTTGCCCCGCGGAGAACAGGGGTCGACGCTCACTCGCGCGCCCTTATCTAGCGGTGGGGAGGATCGTACGTCTTGGCTGGCATTCGGCTTTCACCGGAATGATTCTGTTGTAGTTACCGGGCGCACAAAGGTCACCGCAATCGTTGCACAGACACCGTTTGCGAAAAGAGCGCGCTTTTGAAACACAGCGACGTAAATGAGACGCTTATTCGCGTTCATCTCTACCTGAGAGTACGTTTCATGTGTCATTTGTGCATGAAAAACACGGGGCGCGTTTCGATCTGCTTGCCCTTCTGCGCATGACCTTCCAATTTGTTGCTATCGCGTTCATTGCTTCGCCTTTGCGGCAAAGCTGTGCTGTTGTACATTTTGTTTCGAAAACATCCTGTTTTGTAGACCTCTCCTTGTTTGTAAACAGTGTGACGTCACTGCGGGCACCCCGCCCCCTCCACCCTCTCTCGGAGCAGTTGCTGGTTGGTAAGAAAGTTCCTCCGGCGGCATCGTTATGCATAGCAGAGCTACGTGTCTGCATTCTTTCGACAGAAATTCCTACATTGCTATGTTCTAAAGCCACAGCTTTCGAAAGAAGGGGGTCGCGGAAGGGTCACTGCTCATAGTGTGGGAATTCGCTCGTCGTAGTTGGATGGATGGAGAAACTGTTTAAGATTACTGAGAGACGCGACTAGCACGCAGTGGGCTTCACCCACGTACATGGCAACCATTAACAAAATCTGATCTTTTTCGAAAGCGAACGTTTTACGATTACTGGCGCTTTGAGAAATATTAGCATGGCATTGATGCAAACTTACTCAATTTCCATCGTGGCATGTGCAATGCAGTTTTAAACGAGGTAAAACATTGGCGGCAGCATGGTTTTGAGCTGCTGTGAGTGAGGTCACGGATAAGATCCTTACTCATTGCCCAAAAGCCTCATCGGTGATGAATGAAAAAAGAAAAAAAAACACTTCTTGCCGTGAGTTATTATTGGGTGAGGTTAACATATCGTCGTGAAAATCAAAGTTCTGCCGCTGCGCTTCTTAATCACCCAGTGAAAATTTATGTGATGTAAAACCCGACATCTTAATAATATATAATATTATATGGTACATTCACCTTGCTGCATTTCATACCCATCACTCTTTTAGGCCTGATGCACAAACTTCTAACGCGCATTGCCACTTCATAAGGATCGAGCCGTAAACGTGCAAAGTAGATGAGAAACCAAAGTCTCCGCTGTTTCCATTGACACGTATCAGGTATCTGATATTAACGAGTTATAGCCGTGGTGAAGCATATATGCAGATTCGGCAACGCTACAACATGCTTATAGCTCATGCGTAGTCGTATATATCGCCCGGAGATCATGCACTTTTATTTTTCTGCAAGCCGCGCGTACGTTGAGATCTGCCCACTCGCAGATAATCGCGTCAAATGCATTTTTACCTTGACTAAAATGTCAGATCGTAAAGTTCCATCGACAATCGGTTACTGAAAACGGCCCACAACGAATACCAGTGTTTTCGCAAACAGGACGCATCGTATTATTCACACTGCACACACCACGCACAATATTCCCGATTTCACCGTCCGTAAAGATGAACCAATATTGTCGATGCCTTTTAACGCACACTACACGCCACCGTCAACACTGCACATTTTTAAAGAAGATGCCGCTGTTCCTCGCACAGGTTGCCACGTGTGTTCACTTCTCGTAGATAAACAACCAGCCAGCGTGGCGAACATTTCATCACGCACTTTATCACACACCTATAGATGTTCTCTGACACATGCCACAGCTAATGTCGTCACTGTGAGATGAATATTACGCTTTCAAAAAGAAAAAAAAATTGCCCCAAGCACCGAGTGACTGCACCCCACTCAGGCACCGGCGGGAGTATTTTGCCAACCACCGCTTTGCACGTGCACCGGTGACGTCACGCTGTGACGTACCCCGGTAGAGGTCTATTGCATCAACCTTTTTTTTCTCATGACATTTCAAGTGTGGCATGAGTAAATTGTCGCTACTATTTTCACGTTCTGCGATATTACATGGAGCTGCGGGGTACTAGCAACGAGAATAATTTCAGCCACCTGGAGTTCTTTGGCGCGCACGTAACATCAGTCTTTTTAGATGCGAAGCAGCTTTTGCTCTAGGCTGTATGCGTCCCTCGGCGACCATCCGCTCCCCTACTGCACCTGCACCAACTCCCTTTCTTCTCCTCGCGAGAAAGTGGGAGGAACATCTTCTCGCGTGAGCCAAGCGGTGGCAGAGCACTGCCTCCGCTTCATTTCTCCTCTCCTGTTTTTCTTTGCCGCCGCTGTGCGCTCGTAATTAAGGCGTGCGCGCAGGCTCCGTGGCACTCTCCTAGCAGCACTGGGTGTTCACTTTGCGGCCCCCACACGGTAATGCACACAAAAGGGAGGGTGGGGGTGGGAGTGGGGGGTAACGTAAGCGGTACACAAGATATACACAATTTCACACACAAATGAAACATACACGGAAACATACAATGGCCACCCAAATGAACACCAGCACTGCTTCGCATCTGCACATGGTTCCCTTTAGTGGGAGGTGATGTAACATTTTTTTTCTTTTTTTTCGTAGATTAAGTTATAGGTAGGCATTTAAAAAGCTGTCTATTGCTAAACAATTTCAGATCATAAACAAATTCGTTTACATATCAAGGCACTGCCCATTTCATGGCCGATTTCCCATGAATGGTTGCGCCAGTTTAGTGAGGGTCAACCAATTAAGCAAGTAAACGGATATTTATGCAATTCCCCTATATAGAAGTACGGCCGCCGTGTTCAAAATTCAAACTTAGAAGTTGGTTTTGGCTAGTTGGTATGACATGACGATATATAGTTATGGCGCGAGAACAGAACGACGACAAAGAGACAAGAAGGACACGAGCGGAGAGTTGGAAATTATCGCTCGTGTCCCTCTTGTCTCTTTATCGTCGTTCTGTTCTCGCGCTATAACAATCGTCGAAATTGAAGCCTGCGTCCGAGAGCATAGCAGCGTAGCAGCTTCACTGTTCAAGTTACTACGGCGGATGAAGCAACAGTTCAGTGCATGCACACATAGGCATGCTCAGGGTTCCCTATCAGGGGTGCCTGCGTAATTGTTTTATGAAAAGGCTTCTTTTTATTTGTGTCATCTTTAATGTTCCAGGATGTAGGGGAGACAAGTGAGATAAAGAAGTTTACTTATGTCTTCTTTTTCATGTTAGTTGTACATTTTGTTTAAAAACAACTTTCTTGCAATGTTTTATCTCAGTACGCACTGATTGTATAGATTTTTCATGTGTTGCATAAGTAAACTTACACTAGTATTTTGGTCTTTAGTAGCCGTATTATTGCAAGCCTCGAGGCAGTGTGGACGAGATAACTCTCAGCCACCAGTAGTTCTTTGGCGTGCACTTAACGCAAGTAAACGGATGCTTCTGCATTTTGTCCGCATCGAAATACGGCGTCCGTGGCTGGAAATGAAACTCACATCCAAGAGCAGCTTCACCGTAAGGTTACTAACGCGGATGAAGCAACATTAGTGCATGCGCACATAGGCGTGCACACGGTTTCCTATAAGTGGGGAAGACAAGCCCCCGTGAGCACGTGCTTGTCTTGTGGACACTACTGCTGTCATCGGGTCAGATCGAGGGCGAGTGAGTTAGGCAACCACTCGGCTTCTGAGCACGATGTCTCAGCCTCTGGAACTCATCACCCCCAACGTTTTCATTGTTTATTTCTTTACGAGGTGGACCGTGTTACACGTTGCGGACAATTGAATGGCTGAAAGATATGAATGAGTCGTCGAAGAATGAACACATTAAAGAACTTTTCCTCCCCTGTCTGAAAGGTGTATTAGTTACTTATCAGCCAAAATGAAAGCTATGTTCGATGAGTACAGTCGAACGAAGAAAAAAAAAACACACCAAGTTGTCTTTGAGTAACAACGGGCGTTTATGACACTTCTAGAGTCGTGTTTCGGTGTGGCAATGCACTGTGTAGCCGCTTTTTTTTTCTGCGTTATCCCTGTAATGAAGAGAGATTTCAGGCGGCATGCATTTACATGGTGTACCGGCCAATGTGACAGGTATGCATATGCAGTTCGTGCGGACGAGTGTAAACGTTAGAGAAGTGGATGTATGATAACCAGGAGCACATCATCTCTCTCTCCTGCCGTCAACGTCGTTGACGCCCTCTGGCCAGAGATCCGGGCGCGCACGGCGACGGATTGCGTCGACGAGCAGTCGACGGAGTCCCGAGATGCGCGTTTTGACGGCGTCGTCATCGAGAACGTAGCAGCCGACGTCGTAGCTGACGATCACCTCGTGTGCGACGACGCCCTCGAGCCTCACGCAGCCGTCCACCTCCGCCCGATGATAGGTCATGTTGTAGAAGCGGACGCAGAGCTGCGCCAGCTGCTCGGGCCAGCATATGGGCGGTGGATCGCGGCCTGCATGCATGGCGTCATTTTCGCGTGCGTGAGTGAAGAACACTCGAAACGAAAACTCGAAGAGTGTTTGATTTTCTATTGTTATCTATGCTTCTGATCTCGTTCATGAAAGGACCAATGAAAAAAAGGTCCCGATTCGCTCATTTGGCCGGGCACCACAATTTGAACACTTTTTCTCAGGTCTTCCACTTGCGATCGCTGCAATGTGAGTTTGATGTTGTAAATACGACGTGATTAAATAATACACTGTGCCGCGAATGTGAGAGAATTGTAACCATCTGAACAACACGTTGCGGGTGACAAGGTCTGTGGCATTGGAGAAATCTGGAAATAACTGCCCAACACAACTTTCTGAACTTATTCAGACTTTTTTGAAATTTATAGATATGAAACAACATGGGAAGGTAGGCGAATTGTATATTATCAACTACGAGCAGGAAGAGGCATACGTAATTGATGGCGATTTGCGAAGCTGTGTTGGGTGAGATGGATCAAAATATAAAGGTCTGCAAGTCTTAAGTGACACTTTGCCTTCATTGCTATCACCACGGTAAAAAAAAGTAGGGCAAGCATCCTCCCCACTCCCGCCCATCTGTAAATGTGTGTTCCTGTCAGTCTGAGCTGGTGTGAACGTTAGAGAGAAAATACAGAAACTGTAAACATTTCTCGCGGCCCAATGAAAGGCACATGCAAAGCCAGTAACAGCTTCACGCTCTTTATACAAGTTTACGAATCCCAACACGAGTTCAGGAATAATGAATGATCTTGTGTTCGATGTGACCCGTGTGTTGACTTCGGCATACAGGTTCAAAGTGGGAAGTTCAGCTTACTCACCGGGCTATGCCGTTGATATAGATGTATAAGGTCCATGTGTAATACGTTTTCGTTTATTCTGATAACTTTGTGCAAAAACGCGCAGGTGAGTGTGCGGGTGTGACAAGCGCGCTGCGCACCCAACTACAACGACCAAATTTTGTTTTTAACTTTTTGTCGCAATTTTTTGGTTCTAAAAAAAAAACGTTTTCAAGCAATCATACACTTTGCGCAAATCTTTACTGCACTGTGCGTGCCATTTTTGTCTGGAGAGCTGTAATGGCGTGTTGTGGAGCAAGCAAAGCTTTTGAGTCCTACTTGTTACGCCCCCAACGAGGAAGAACAAAGTGCCAGACGTTGTGGCTGTGCGGTTTTGTTCAAGTCTCGATGCTCAACGCTGTGCACTCTCTGTCAAGCATTCAATTCCAAACGTAACAGCTGCGCTAATATATAATGCAACTCAAATATGTTACTTCCTCTTCGAAGCACTGATCAACTTTTTTTCATGTATGTGATCGATTCGTAGCAGTCAGCGCTAGCCAGCTCTAGATTTCAAAATTTATGCGCAAGTACAGGTTAGCAAACATGCATTACTGAAATATCAAGATGTCATATGCACTCGAGGAACATTGCAAAGTGGGCGCCTAATATTTCCTTCAGCAGGCGCCATAGTTTTCACCCACCTATAGGCTGCGCTCAGGCGAAAAACTGCCTCGACTGAACTCGCATATTTTTGAACAGACAATATGTTGGCCCTTACAGTGTATAGTGCCTACAGGCAACTTTTACTGCTCACCTGATACGGTTCGATTCAGGACAACGTTGTCATCGATTGAGATGGTGAAGCTCAGCGCGTACTGGTCGGGGTAGTAAGTCAGGTTGGAGCAGGCTGCAAAACAGTAGCATGAGTTCACTAAATAGGCCTCCGCAGAGTTTCAACTGCAAACAAAATTTATGTACAAACAGGAAAGCGGCTGACGAAACGCGAGAATACTAACAATGGACCCAAATTTCATTGTTCATTTGAACTTAAAATAATCCAAAGGAGAATTTTCTTGAGCATCATTGGTAGAGAGACAACTTTTATAGCGCAGAATAATAACCAAAAGGCACAACATGGACCCTTTTCTTTTTCTTCTGGGTTCACTGCCTGAATCTGTAATAGTTTTCTTTTTCTTGTGAGGGGAAATTTTCTTTAATAGAAACGGATGAAGATGGGCACTGTAGCTGCGCTGCTCGCGCTATTCGACCTATTGTCACGCATAACAGCCATAAATTCATCAACTACAAGTATACAAGGTGTAGTCTCGTGTTCCTCAGTTATGTATGTTCGTAAGTACGGTACAGCTGTATTGCCTGTATATTATTTTCGCAATGTTCGGCATGAGTGTCGGAGTTATAAACGTTGGCAATCCTACGCAACCGTATCAACAACAACAAAAAACATTCAAGACATACGTTATTTGAGATACAAATCCTCGAAATTCGAGACCCCGATCTCGGTGATACCAAAACTGGGTGCACCGGGCGCGCAGGCGATGTGGCAACTGTGTTACGTCAGACCAAAAGTTCACGTGACGAACTTTGAAATAAGGCGCTTTGCAACATAATCTGGTCAGCGAAACCGGCAAGTTGTCTCAGATATTGACATTGGACCACTTAATCTTTCCGTTTAGTATGCGTTGCTTACCGAGAAAACCACAGTTTACACATTTTTTTTTTCATTGTACAGCGTAAAACTGTGGGCTGCAGCAACTGCGGCGCTATTTCGCACAGAAAAGCGAAAGAGTGCTTTCATTTTTTTTTAAGTGTAAGAAAAGACTGATAAGCACTGCACAACAAACGCTACGAACAAGCGGTGCTATTGTGTATTTGGGACGATTTGCTATTTTTCTTTTCACGACTGCTGCGGCGTGTCTTTTTTCGGAGTTGATCACGTGAGCTTCCGGTCTGACTCAGAGCGGAATCTCAGGACAGTTAAGTTACGGCGTAACATAACTGCCGCATTTTCTGCGTGCCCAGTGCACTCATTTTTGATATCATTGAAATGGGGGTCTTGAATTTCGATTATTAATATACCTACAATCACGTGTGTTGTCGTGGATATTTCTTTTAAAAAATGAGTGTGTCATGAATTGTTGCGTCCTGTAACTTTTCCATGTGAACAACTTCCCTCAAGTTAATCATAAAAATGGCGTCTCTCATAATCATATAGTGTTTTGGGACGTTAAACCACACAAATCAATCATTAATCATGAAAATGTTAATTAATGAGCGTTCGTTTATTACTCATATCAGTGTGACTTTAGGCGCGGCAAAGTTTTTCCGCCTTGGTTTAAACGTTCGTTTGCAAAGATTACAAATGCCTCACTGCCATAAAATGTTTACTGAAAATATATTCTTTGAAAAAAAAAACACCCTGAATAAAAGCGACAAGAATGCATACAAGTGCACTTGTACTAGTTTAATTCATTTGAAACAGAAATCACGTGTGTGTGTGTGCGTGTGTGTGTGTGTGTGCGTGTGTGTGTGTGTGCGTGTGTGTGTGTTTGTGTGTGCGTGCATGTGTGTGTGTGCGCGCGTGTGTGTGTGCGTGTGTGTGTTTGTGTGTGTGTGTGTGTGTGTGTGTGTGTGTGTGTGCGTGCGTGTGTTAGGCCTTTCTGGAATGTAATTTCTATCATTCTTAACGTTTTTATGGTAAGTAAAATAATAATTGAAAATAAATTTATACCAAACAGTTGTTTCATGCACGTGCTACGTAGAATTAACGCGTTAAACGTATGTGTAAGGTGACGTGCTTGATAACAATGCAGATAAGCTATACGTATCTTTCACTTATTATTGTCACGGGGTCGTGACGTGGCCGAAGACAGGATACTTTGTGTTGGGATTTAACAGTTTCTTTGGGCGAACCTGTGCCCGGCAAACGGAAAGACCGATTACAGTAGCAGTCTTGCACAGATAGCAGTGAACGGAGCATCGGCCGTCGATCAACTACGAAAGTCCGGAAGCTTCTCGAAAACTGCACGCGCGTTTTGCGCTGAGAAATGTGTAGTGTTTTGGGCGATAACAAAACTTGAGAAATGGAACGTGGCATTATTGTATTTATGTATATCTAAAAGCATGATCAATTACTAATATTTGTACATAGTTAACGATAGTGCGCTTTCAATGGGAACTGGAGATAATTTCAGAAACTCCCTGATTGGATAGTGAACGATCGCTATGCACTAAAGACCGGTCCTTAACGGTGCTTAAGCCACCTCGATTTAGAAAATTTCTTGTGTAGCGGCAGATGAATACGAGTTAAATAATAATTTGCGTGGTCTTACGAGCCAGAACAATGATATGACTTCGAGACATGCGGTAGTGGATGACTGAAAATGCCTACCATTTGACGCTTGAAGTGCACTGACATCACACACTACACGGACCTCTTGAGTATATGAGTCAAAACAAACATCAAGGCTGCAAGTGTTTCTCAAAACGATGCTGTATGAGTTACAGCCGCTTCATTATTGTCAATGCGACGCTAGCAAGGTGCCATGCGACCAATGCACAGAGACTTTCTACCATAGTAACTGGAAAGATACATGAATGGATGCTATGAGGCACCCTTTTCAGATTAGGCCAGGTTCAAAAAAGTTTATGAGCAACGGGAAGGTGGCCTGTGCGCCACCAAGCTCAATTTGTTTTAATTCGTTCCTGTGTCTTGTCTACCTAAATTATTCTTTCTTCACATAAAAATCATAAATTCACGGCTTGACTTCCTAATTTGACGGTAGAATAACCTTCATTTTAAGGCCTCATTTAACGGCGATATTGAACAGGGACAAAAACGAATGATACACAGCACGCAGACAGACTCACAACTAAACGTTTAATGGTTGAAAGATGATATATATACAGTAAACATGTGATGAATCAAGCTCATTGTACACTGATACGCTTACGTCACAAAGAAGCATAAAACTATTCCAGCTCACAATCTGCAACCGAAAGCGAAGGTTCGCTAATGAACGCACTTGTAGTATTAATTTTGAATGCTTCGAACTGTTCTCGGGTGCAACGATCCTTGTGGCGATACATAATCTTGGTTTCGTCGATAATTGGTTGACACGTGTTATTGATACCTACTTTACACTTCCTACAGCGCTTTGACACGTGTGAATAGCCACCGGTAGAGCAATTCTTCGGATGCTATTTTAGGTAAATATTTATACACCTCGTACACTCAACCAAAAAGCAAAGGAACTCCATAAACCACTGCGCAGGCTCCGGGGACAAACCTTGAGCTATAGGTTCAACATGACAAACAAAGGTACTGAAATTAGGTGTTTTGTCAAAAACATTCATTACAATAGCACACAATCGCGAAATTTTCTGAGGTGCCAAACACACGAAGTTCACATGTTTACATCGTAGCGCTGCGTTACGTTCTTCAAGTTATGCTACGCATTCTGCTAGTACGTGCCAGCAAAAAGTGTCGTGGGGTGGGGGGGGGGAGAGAAGTATTATGCGCTTTTTAGTAATCAGTCTTTTGTAAGATGTATGCATGCATGTTGTGACAAAAGTTTCTATGCCACGTTCGCATGCGAGAAGACTTAGTTTTTCTCCTTGGCTGTATGTCACGGATAACAGTCTATTGTATCACCAGCAGCTATGCGCATCAAGAATGAGCATTCTAACTGTGTGGCAGCATTTGTGTGTTCGTTATTCAATACAAGGCCCACATCACCAGCTTGATTCGAGCTACGAATTGCGTTCAATGGCTCGGGAATATTTGAGGAGTGTACCTGTACTAGATAACGAATTGTGTTGCATGTGAATGAAGAGCCCAAACCAACAGACATAAGGTTAACATTCAAGCCAGACAAATGTCTAGAAATGATACTACGTAAGCCGGCAACATGTCCGGTATTTCACGGACTACTGCTGTTTTGCATTCCCAAATTTCGCGCTACTAACCACAATTGACTCTCTTGGCATTCTGTCCATCAGACAGCCGAAAGGGCGTCACTACCTTTCTCCTTGATGCCGAAGCGTGGAGCAGACATGTTGAAGCAGCAACCACACTCGCTGCCGACGCATTGACACCAGCGGGTGTTGCTGGGCCATATCACCGTCTTGTTAGCCGGCTCCTCTTCACCCAGTTCGGGAACCTCTTCTTCTAACTGCGAGTCTCCACCGGCGAGCGGATCAGCTCCCCAAGCTGTCCGCACGTGTTACATAAAAAAAAAGAATACCGTGAGGACGTTATTAATTGTTCCGATATTTTCTTACGAGAAACACAGAGTCCGATTTAAATGTAAATGTCATGGCACTCAGCATATAGGCTGGTGGTGTGCTCTATCTAGTTACACTGAATTTCAAAATGGCGGAGAAAAGAAGTAAAGTATGATCCCGAGACAGAAACTAGAAAATAATAGGCGTGCACACGGGGGGGGGGGGGGGGGGTTGAGGCAAAGTCAGCCCCTACATACATTGACATAATAGAAAGGGGGGCGCTGCATGCGCACGTTTATGTAGAGAAGGGTCATGAACATCATCAGCAGAGAAGTGATGCGCTGCCCATAAGTTGTCAAAGAGATGTTTAGAAGGTCATTGCTATGACGCGCTTCTTTTCCTTTGCTGTTGGTTCACACGTGCGCGATGTTGTAAAGTGGGGGCCCCGTGCTCGCTGTGGGCGGCCGCGGTACTAGTACGCTGTAGCGGTGTCCACAAGACGCGGTACGTAATCTCCCGAGGCTGTTCATCGGCGCGCCGCTCATGGAATAAGCCAGCAGCTACCGCGCGTGCTTGTTACGCGGTTAGGACGACATTGCGAAGAAGAGAGCAAACAATTTTTGGCAGTTTTTTTTTATTCGGAATTGTAACTTGCTTCCTGCACGTAGTGGTGCAGGGAAGTTACAACGTTTACAGGAATCTCGACTACGGCTTTTCTCTTACTTCGTTAAAAAATGTTGATCTAAGTCTGTTTCACTGACAAATTAAAAAAAAATATGGGACCTCACATGCTAAAATCACGATATGATATGAGACACGTTTTGGTGTGAACCCTGGATCATTTTCACCACGGATTTTACGTGAAACTTACTTAAATCTAAGTGTACGAATAGTGTTGCGCTTAACACCTATTGAAGTGCTGTCACAGTGGCCAAAAATTGAGCCCACGTCATTGGGCTCAGCACCTTAGCCGCTAAGCTGCTACGGCGAGTAACTTCTCCTCGAGCACTTTTGTTGACCTCCGATTTTTTTTGCCTAAGTTATCACCAACAGAATGTAATTATTGTACAGTTTCCTTTTCTTAGATAGCCGTGAGCAGCTTTTCATTATTTTGTAACGCCTGCCATATGTTACACAGTCAATGTTTATTCTTTTGTAATATTTTTGTTATGATCATGGTTTTTTCTTACTAAATGACACAAATAAATTACCTTTTGGACAGATTCTAGAGGCTGACTGTAAATAATAGGTTCTCATTTTTTTGCCAGACACAAGTACCATCATACTAAAGTCACTCGTCTTGTACCGTGATATGCAGGAACGAGTTGGAAAACTCTTGTGAACAGTAGCAGACTAGACAGTCTTCGTCAAGGCGACCAACAGTCTTCAGCATACGATTACGAACTATCTTTAATGACACTATATTTAAGGCTAGCTTCTCCACGCTACGAGACACAGTGCCAAGAAGCCCACTTCTTTGGTCGATTGCGCCAACAGAGTATACCAATTTCTGTTGCAGGTACACTTCCGATTTTGATCATAGCACTGACCGATTCATTTTTTTTGCTGCATGTTTGCGAACCTCCCTCATTGCAGGGTTCATATTCCACACGGACCTCCTCATTCGTTCAATACATTCTACCGCCACAGGGTAAATGGGAAAACTACCATCGGTATATAGCGCAGAAGGGAAGGATACAACTTTAAAACCAAAATAAAGCGACTGGAGCATTTCACGCTAGAATGTAAAGCCCATAATTTAAAAAAAATGAAAAGTAAAGAAAGAAATAAAAAAACATAAGACAGAATGGAATAAACAGAGGGGCGAAGGAGTGGTGGGTGAGAAAGAAAAGGGGCAGCGTCCTTTACTCGTGCGTGAAAGCGTTTTTTTTTCGTCAAGGAGCTTGAGGTTGTAGATAGTTCACGTCGTTTTTCGTAACGCTTTGCATTGCTGTATTGCAGCTGCCCTTTTGCGAATGAGTAAGCCAAGTAATTACCGGCTGTACGTCTTTAATCATCCCACCAGCAATGCATAACGCATGTCAATCGTTTGCGCAAACTCAATGAAGTTAACTCGAGTATAAAAAAAGGGCGTTCAAAAAAAAAAAGAGGGGGGGGGGGCAGGTGGGGCATTTCGTGCTCACTTGCTCTGGAATCCGATCGTCGGGCAGATGTAAACGCAGTTCAGTACGCTGTTTCCTGATATACGTGTGCTCGACAGCTTCCCAGCACTCGTTTGCACGCGAAACGAACATGTTATAGCTGCAGTCAGGGGTGCGCCCTTTCCGGACAGCGCTAAGCATTTGTTCCGACGCCGTTAACGCACTGACTACGCTCGACTGACGCCCACATGACACTAGTACGTTACTCGGTTTATGGGGAAACAGACGCGCTTTGAACAAATTACCTATTGCTCCTTCGATCCGCATATACGCACGAGTCGTCAACCTTACGATTTCGTCGTGCCGCCATTATACGTCGATGCAGCTTCATTGCAAAGAAAGCCAAGTACTTTTTCAAGTATAACACTGCTGCGGAGGCTACAATGCCGTGCTTAGGTATAAAGTATTGGGTGTTTTGGAAAACTACAATTACGTTGAAGGTGCAGAACATCTACAACAATACGCAGCGCAATACAACGTAGCGTATCGAACGATTGTCAGTGGTGCTTCACTTTCGGCGGCGTGCGAGCAAGCTGCGCATCACCGCCTGTCTGAAGTCTCGCTTTGTGTGTAGCGTGATTGTCGTGTATGAGCGTACTTTCGTAGAAGACAGTCCAGAGCCCAAAGCGAAGCATGTAGTCTTGCCGAACTTACTTGGTCTGCACGTGATCCGGACGCGGCTCACGTGAGAGCTCTGCTGCTTCTATTGTATCCAAAATCTCAGCAGCAGTTGTGTGCCAAGGAACTACACCGCTTTTATTCCGCACATCTAGCTTCATGGCTTTTAACTTCCATGATTATACATGTGCACGCGTTATTTTACAATCCCGATCACCTAATGACATTGTAACACGTCTGTAACTTGCGCTATTTGGTCATGATACGTCGTCAACACTCTTTAAAAGAAAGGTTGTAGTACTTACTAAGTTCGGTTTACTAAGTACTTGTACTTGTCACATATGTTACTAACCGGTTAGTAAGTGAAGTTAGTAACGAGGAGGCTAGTGACTGTTACTACCTCCACCGTTACTAACGCAGTTAGTGATGGTTACTAACGTAGGTAGGAACTGTTGCTAGCAAAAAAAAAATACCAGATGCTATCATTTTGCCTCATGAATCACCTGTTTTATAACGGTCGTATTCGAGAGCATCAACATTTTGATATATCACTGAGTAATTGCGCACATAATCTCAAAGGAGAACACACCTACACAAGTCCACGCGAGAAGTACAGTTTCTAAGCGGTTCCAGGAGTATCTATAGCCCTAACTTTGGGGAATGCAGCTGGTGCCGGTGGACGGCTATGTTGTAGGATGTATAATTTAAGTTAGGCGCCTTTATTTGTAAAACGTACACTTTTTTTTAGATGAGCGAGGTAACGTAGTGTAACTACTTTTTATTCAAGCATATAATAGAAATAATTAGTTATGTCTATTTTGCATAATACCCTTTCAAACACGGCCTGATATTCAAGACGTAAGCATGCCTAGTAAGCTTGCATATATTGCCTCAATGAACTTGAATGTATCCTCATGCTACTAAATAGGTTGTTAGACGCTCGTTGTAATAACCTCTAAGGTTTGTTCAATTAGTTCATTAAAATACGCACATTATGAAAAGTTACTAACAGTGCGCAAAACGTATAGTAGCCATTGCAAGCTTCAAGCGTTTGCTAACGTGGTTAGTAAAATGGCCGCAAAATTGAATAGTAGTGGCCTAAGAAGGTTAGTAACAGCTTCTGTTACTAAAATTTTGCTCGTGGTTACAAGCTTTTTACAACTTTATCAAGAGTGAAGGACTTGAGAGCAAGGAAAGAGTAACAAGACGTTGAATAAGCACTCAATGTCTTGTGTGTGCCTGCATGTGTAATAAATCTTCCTGCCGTCTTTAGCGGGATGGTTCTAAAGGAAACGCTCGAATGCGTGCACGTTACTGAAAATGCGTGCATTATATTCTAAAACTTACTTTCTCCTATCTATTCAGCAGTATGAAATTAGTCACATGTATTGGCACAATATGCCGAGACATCTTCATTGTTGTCTGTTTCATTATTTATAAAGCGAGAAATCCGTCTAAATTAACGTTATCGCTTGTACCGCCGTCCTTTGTGTAGCTTTTGCCCCGCCGCGGTGGTCTAGTGGCTAAGGTACTCGGCTGCTGACCCGCAGGGCGCGGGTTCGAATCCCGGCTGCGGCGGCTGCATTTCCGATGGAGGCGGAAATGTTGTAGGCCCGTGTGCTCAGATTTGGGTGCACGTTAAAGAACCCCAGGTGGTCTAAATTTCCGGAGCCCTCCACTACGGCGTCTCTCATAATCATATAGTGGTTTTGGGACGTTAAACCCCACATATCAATCAATTTGTGTAGCTTTTATTATCATTGAATGATGCGTTTTCTTCGTTCGTCCTTCAGTTTCGAGCCGTCGTCGCTTGTTGGCAGCGACCGAGATCGTTTGATATTTGATGACAGCGCCGGCTGGCGTACACCACTTAGCGAACAATACTGCATGCGCGCCTGGCTCTGCCAGTGTATGCTTATATTAGCAAGCTGGCCAGCACTCGAGCATCAGAGAGGAGCATCTGAACGTGAAAGAATGTAAGATACCCTTTATTCTAGATTGCAATTGAAGAAGAAGAGCCTTGAGCCCTCGCAAGAGTTCGGCGAGCTCGAGATCGGGAACAGCCCGCACTACACATCGCGTTACCCGTTATTAACTTTCTTGCTTTCTACATTTGCGAGAAAGAAATGCTCTATGTTGGCCTCAAAAAGAACACGCCATCAAAATCAAGTTTATATCGATAGATCCCCGCAATTAACACTGGTCA